GGAGGTACAGGATGAATAGACTAGCATTGCCCTCAGAGCATGCTGCTGGGGAACATAGATAAGAGAAAGTGTTGATACAGAATGGTAGGGGCTAGTGTAGGGGTAAACGCAGGATGCTGTGGGACACCACAGAGTCTTCCAACCCAGTGTTGAGTCAAAGAAGGCTTTCTGGAGGATGTCATGAGGTCTATGCGGAAGCTTCAAAGGGAAGTAGACATGGAGGAGGAAACAGCATGGTAGGCAAAGGGAACACCCCATCCAGAGGCCTAAGGGCAGAGCATTCACGAGACTATCTTTCATAAAGTGGTTCTTCACAAGTCACACCGTTGTACAGTCTAATTGCCTTTTCTCGAATAGGTAGGTGTGGGAGGGACTTGTGAAATACACATTCAAGGAAAAAACTGAGCATCAGCCAAAGCATTGAAAAATAAACTCCCTAGGGCTGGGGTGAAACCTGCCACAGTGCCCTTGGGTTAACCATTAATGAATTTGCTTCTGAAGTACGAGCATTAAAAATAACATTGATCTTGGTCACTAGTTCAAAAGAGTCTACAATGCTTTGGAATCAGAAGGAATGGATTTATGTATGCCTTGATGCTTGCCACTAATCTCTAGAACTGCCAGAAGACTACACTCTATTTTCCAAGATAGAAAATGTGGGATAAAGACGTTGTCCTATGCAAGGATTAATTGCTGCTGCTATCATTGTAGAACTCTGATCGTTCTAGCTTGTCACCAGGAAGGCGTGATAAACCACAAAATTTGGCTTCCTCTGTTACAGCTTCTGGAAGTAGCCTTTCATGAGGCTGACAGAGACAAATTACAATCTAAAAAAAATTAGGCTTTTCTTTTGTAATAATTTCAAACCCTCAGAAAAGTTGCAAAAATATTGTAAGAATTACTACATACTTTTAACCCAGATCCCCCAATTGTCAGCATTTCACCACATTTGCTTTATACAGTTATTTTTTCTGTAATGTTTGAGAGAACACTGCAGGTATGATGTCCCTATGCCTCTAAATACTTCTGTGCGTTTATATTAAAAAATAAAGAACACAACCACAGTGCAGTTTTCAAAAATCAGGAAATTAACTTTGATACAATAGCTTTAGTGTTCTCAAATTGTCGAGTTGGTACAATTGCTAATGTACCATTTCTGGAATACCTGGACCTTACAGCTTAGTAAACATGGATTCCTCTCTAACATCTTGGACATAATTTTTATGCATATTTACCTTCTTTAATTTCTTGCTGCATAAGATGAAGAGAGCTCTCTTATGACATAAATATACAAAAAATGCTAATCCCTGGAAAAGCTAGACATTCATCCACAGATAACCTGAGATTGGTAGGCAGTGCATGTTCACAAAAAGATCATTTATTAGAAGAACTGTGGAATATTACTAATTTCCATATAGGTCAGCCTATGTATAAATGGCCAGTTTCATCTTCAAATTAGACGATGTTAAGGACCGTGCTAAACTTGGTTTTGGAGCTCTTTGGTAGCCAGATTAAATATATATTGAGCAAAGGTGAGTTAATAAAATAAAGTCTTAAATACCTAGCGCATGCTCTAAACATTGCAACTGAAAAGAAAGACAGAAAAAAAAAAGACCTTTTGTGAACTCAAATTATTTAAACTATTTTTATTGACTGTACAATTCTATTTTCTAGACCAAATTATTCTTTAAATAGTAATAATATCTGACATTTGTAAAATGGTTGGCAGTCTATAAAACGTTTGCATGCTTATTTATTTACAGTTAAGCAAGAGATCCTTCAAATTATTGAATGGGTTTTATCAAGTACAAAGTGCTGGTTTTCATGCTGAGGATAGATACTGAACAGACAGAATGGCTTAGCACTACAATTTGGCCAGAAATATTTTTGCTGTGGTATTTGTAAGGTGTGTTGCAACCCTTGAGTTTCTGTTAATACATGCAGCTGACTCTGAGCACTTAACTACCAGTACATGATAAAATCTGTTTCTTCTAGAGCAGTTCCTTACATCCTGTCACGATCCTTGTATCTTTAAGATTTACTAAGAGTTGGTAGATATAATTTGGCTGAACTGAGATTCCGTTTTCCTCTAATTTCTGGAGGCAGGTTCTATTCAACCCCTTTTCTTTTCCAGGCCATGCTTTCAGGCAAATTACTTCAGACTAAAATCTAGAACTCAGAGGCTATGTTACAAAGCTGTCTCTTCTGTGGACACTGTTGTGTCAAATAAATTATTCAACCCCTTTACTTTTGTTATTTTGTGTTATGTAATTAATAGAGTGATATCATTTTCCCAGGCTTTCTCAAGTTTATTTTTTTAAAATAAATTGGTGCATTTTATAGGCACTTTTTAAAAGTGAAAAAAATGAGTGAAATACAGTAAAGTTTTCATAAAATTTACTTTGAAGTTATGAGACTCATTTTTAAACTTACACTTGACAATAGCCTTGAACTCTTATTTGATCTCCTTTGAAGTTTTTATTTTCTAATTAAAAAGAGTGAAATATTGGAACACATATTTTTATGACTGATGGAAAAGTACTTTGCTAGGTGACTGATCATATCACTTATTTTGAGGATTCTACTTCATGAAGGGCATGGATGAGATGATAAAATGGAAAGTTCAAATCTCTGATAGCTCGCCAGAAATTGCTGGAAGTTTTGTATGTGCCAATTAATCAATAGGAAATGAAACTCCACATGCCAACAGAAACTGCACCAGATTATGACTGTAATGGAAACGAAAATCTTGCCCCAAATTGCACATCATGACTTTACCTTAGGAAGCAATTTCAGATTTACCAATTGATGGGAGAAGAGATTGACTGCACAATGTATTGGTTCTTCTCACAGATGACAGAATAGTAATTTGAACAATCCCCATGATAATTAAGTGGAGATATTTTCTGATTTGGGTATTATTTCCCTCATGTATTTAATCTCATTGACTTGGAATTGCAGTTCATTTCAGCAAGTGTGGGGTGAAATACTTTGTCCGAACACGTTGTTAAGAAATCAGGTTATAGGCTTTACTCCCATGAGTCATTTAGCTTCATATCAAAAATTTAAAACTTTGGGTGCTTTCGTTCCCATCTCCCTCACATGTATTCAGGAGCGTAGTCTCCAGGGGGATCGTAAAAGGGTACGGAGGGATAGATCAGACTAGACCCTGAGCATGGCCTCCTAAAAACACACCCGGGACAAAAAGGATCATTGATGGTTTCTTTTGTGGATAGAACAGTGAACACATTAATTTTTTTTAACATACTTCAGGTTTTAAAAATATGCATAGTTTATTACATAAAAATATTGCTAAACCATGATAGAAATTCAAGAAATTTTCTTTCAGATAAGAGTTTACCAAAAGAGGGCATACACGTTGCAATTGCACCTGGATGCTTCCTGTTAGAGCAAAGAACCTCATATAAAGTAATCCCTTTCTGGTTTTTTTGTGTTGAGTGGAAAAACAGGTAGGACTAGTATTTAGACAGCTCAAATAGGCAGAAATGTGAGGAGAGCAATTACTGCAGATGCTGAAATAATTGTAGACCAAGGAATGGAAAAGGAAATAATTATTTGGTGGAGAAATATCATCTGAATATCTTTTTATAAAGTTTTGAGTCTGAATCCACTCCTACAGATTGTCACAGATTATTTTCCTTATAAGTGTAAACATTATGCTCTTTCTCTAGCCTTTTCTTTTGTTCAGACTCTCATTAATCCTGCATAGATTCTCTAATGGCCTACTAAACGGTCTCTGTCTTCCATCTCGCCCATCTCTTAGCCATTCTCTATGGTACGGGATGAACGGTCTTTCTGAAATACAAGTGGAATCATGCCGCTTTCTTTTAAAAAATCCATTAATATTTTCCCAAAGCTTTGTGGATGCTTTTAAACTTCTTTGCTCCGGCTTCTGTCAACATTTCTTGCTCCAGTAAACTTCTTTCAACTTCCCCAATATAACAAGCGTCTCTCAGTTTTGTTGTCTTTAAGTTTTCTCCCAGGTTAATCCGAGTCTTCAAGAAAGGATCAGAGCAGCCAGCACCTCCTGAGAGATTTCCCTAACTTTTGTGTTTTCCTTCTGAGAGCACACACTAGCTTTAAGTTCTTTGAGGCAAAGGACGATATTTCAGTGTTTTTGTACCCTCAGTGCTTGACATATAGGGGTTGGTCTGTAAACGTAGAACAATGAAGTGAATCATCAGCTCCTCCCTTCAGCCTATATGCTTACTTGTAGAAATTTTCTGATCCCTAAACGTTAGGACTGAATATGCCAAGAAAGAGCCAACTTTCTAAGTGGAGGCTAGGGCCTTCTGTTCAAGGGTAAGATGTTCCTTTTAAAAAACTTACATCTAGGATTTTATTATGCTTCTAGGAGTAATCCTGGAAAGTAAGGTCAAGATTACTCTACGTCTTGTGTATATGAGAGGGTGGAGTGGTGTATATGTGTGGTGGGTTTGTGTTTTGTAAAAGCATCTGCCTGTTTTATTTCCAGATACTTCTTTAAAAATGTCAATGGTATCAGCATTCCTCAAGCAGGCCTGGTTTATTGAAAATGAAGAGCAGGAATACATTGTAAGTCAAGTGACAATAAAATAACTTAGTTAAATATTAAAATAGAAACCAATATGAGTGAATAGGCATTAATTTCTTTCTCTCTCTTCCACAGAAAGCTGTGAAAGGATCCAAAGGTGGTCCTGGGTCAGCAGTGAGCCCCTATCCCAGCTTCAATCCGTCCTCAGATGTTGATGCCTTGGACGAAGCGATCACAGTGAAAGGTAATTAATTATGTCTTCCCAAAACAGTCTCTTCCTGGACATTTCTGAATGGCTGTTTGAATGGCTATTGGAAAACAGATATGTGCAATGGAAGGAGTCTGTTTCGTTTTGAAGATAAAAGATTTACTTGTCAAATGAAGATTTATTTCCTTTCTCAGCACTCAGGAAATTTTGGTCAAATCAGTAGAATCTCTAGCGTTACAACAGATATCCCTACCAGCTCATTTCTAGCAGAAACTTGACGCTGAAATCAACACTTCTGCTCATAGGCTTTGAACTAGGATCAAACACTGCAAGACTGAGGACCAGAAAAAATTTCCTCTTCCGTTCTCATTTGAATTAATGGAATGTCATCTGAAGTGCTTCCCTTTGACAGATAGCCTCACATCTCTAACCTGGCTGATATAATTTATATTTCTTAGTTTGCTAAGAATTTCATTTGGAGCATCTTGATAATGAATCATCCTATGTCAGTTATTGAGGATGAAGAGAATTGATTTTAAAAGCCTAGTGGTCCTTTACTTCCAGGTGTGGATGAAGCAACCATCCTTGAGATTCTAACGAAGAGAAACAATGTGCAACGTCAACAGATCAAAGCAGCATAACTCCAGGAAAAAGGAAAGGTAGGTTGGAGTGGTAAATTTAGATATTTAATTTCAGTTACATTTATGTTTAAAAGTAGGTTTTGAAGCAGTTACCTAGGTCTTTGAACCTCTTAACTGCTGTTTCCTATTACAACTAAGACTGGGATTACAGTATTTATTCACTTGGTTGCAATTTAATAAATTGTAGCAAATTTACTGGTTTCATACATTGGTCATCTTGGGTCTTTGCAGATGTTGTGTTCTGTACTGGAGACAAATCTTTAATTTGAATATAAACATTAAGATTACTATTGGCAGTAAGGAATATGTTCTGATTAAAATGTGTCTTCTGCTAAAGTTTAAGCTGAACTGTTTAAAGTCTAAATGTAAAGTTTATACATATAGTTCTAACTTTAAAAGTAAACTTTATATTTTTCATACCAAATACAGGTAGTTTTTTTACGGAGCACAAGTAAAAAACTATATAATGTCCCTATCTGATTATTGTGCTTATTTGAGTGGTGCAAACATCAAAGATTGGAAAATATATTAATACATGATTTTAAAAGTATTCTTACTACTGATACTGTTAATGCACTGTCCCTTATCTTTTGAGTTTTGTGATTTCTTCCCTGTGTAAAAGAGTGAGAACCCTGTCCTTTAAAAAGTTATCAATAAATGCAGTAAAATTTCATTCGAATTACTCTAGATCTAAAAGATAAAGATAAAATTCTAAATATTCACTACTCTTTTGTATTTAAAAGGAAGGAGCTCTAAAAGATGTTTGTTTTAGCAATTAGTAGTAAGAGTACCCACAGGTCAGGTCACACCACATTGCTGTATCACTTTGCGTGTTACTAATTAGAAGTCCTGATTCTAATCTCTGATTTCTAATCTCTTCAGCCCCTGGATGAAGCTCTGAAGAAAGCCCTTACAGGTCACCTGGAGGATGTTGCTTTGGCTCTATTAAAAACTCCAGCCCGGTTTGATGCTGATGAACTCCGTGCTGCCATGAAGGTAGATCACCTGATTTAAGCTGTTGATAAATAAAAATTCAACCAAGGAAATTTAAAGATCTAATTAGCTTTATTCAACAATCCATGAATCAGGCAGCATCTCATCTAGTAAATAGAAAAGTGCCCCAGGGAGTTGTACAAAATGGAAGGTATTTATAGGCAGAAACTGGGAGGGACAAAAAAGTTATTAATAAGAGAGAAGAAAGCATTGTCTCAGACAAGGTCCCCTTTCTTTGTGGGGAGGGTGGCAGGGGTTTTATGAGGCAGATTACCTCACTAGCATAGATCAGGAATTTCCAGGCTGATCAGTTTAAGGTCACATTCCTGGAAGAGGTTGAAACTGCAATTAAGTCTTGGTTTGCTGTCCTGGGGGCAAGTGACTCCACCCTGGGCCTGTTGCTTTTTTTTCTTTTTCTTTTTAACAAAACAAACTTCCTTCCTCAAGAGAATGTATAGGTCAAGTCCACATACACCTCCTATTGTATCCTCAACATCTAGTATAGGGCCTGTCAATCAATGGAAATAAAGTGAATAAATTAATTAATAGATAAATGAACGAACAAATCTTGGCATTAACAACTGTGTTATTTCCACTCTCCCAATGGTGTCACTGAAGGACTTCTAAACTTACTTTTAAACTTACTTTTTAAACTCTTGTCCAAAATACTAGCTTTAAATCCATTTTGTTTTTAAAGCAATATAATAGATAGAGCTTATTGTAATTATTAAATATTGTAGATATTTACTAAATACTGTGGGAAATCAAATTTTGGGACACAAAAAACTAGTTGGTGCTCTTGAATGAAGATTTTCGTACATTTTTTCTTTTCATCTTTTTCAATTCAGGGCCTTGGAACTGATGAAGACACTCTGATTGAAATTTTGACATCAAGAACTAACAAAGAAATTAGGGAAATTAACAGAGTCTATAGAGAAGGTAAGTTTTCATGTCCAACAGTCCAAGGGCCTTAGCTGGAAAGGAAATCTGATATACTTTTCTTAAAATTGAATGTGGATGTTAATTATGGAGGCTTTGGAAACTCTCTATATTAAAATGTATCTTCATTGTTGGGCACGTGTCTACCACACGCACACACCGTTCCTAGACAGCATTCCAGCTGCCGGGTGCTGATCAGGGAGATGATGTCCCAGTCCTCATCAAGTTTGCACTTAAAAGAAAATGTCCCTCCAGGACAAATGACCACACAGTATCATAATGGAAAAGTCAACTGAAAGCATCAAATTTAAAGAATTTTCTAAAAACATTTCCTATTATTCTGATATTTATTTCATAGAAATGTCCTGTTGTCTTTTATTTTGAAAAGATAACAAAAGAATAAAAATCTCCAAACAAAATATTCTCCATTTGTCCTTGAAAAGGTAAAGAACTAGGTGCTTATAATCCTCTGCTGGAAACTAAGTTTACCATTATGAACATAAATGGCGACTTATTCTTTATCTCTAATTAGGTCCGTGGGGATGATAGACCAGCCATGGCTCACTTTATCTACTCAGTGAAACATCTCCTTTAAATGATATGATCAACACTGTAGAGAGAGATGCAACTGGGTCCTGGGCAGTACTGGGTCTTTTGCTATTTTTCTTTTCTAATTTCTTGAGCCCCCAGCTTTACTGGTTTATGATGATGTGACCTCATAAAGGATCTTTCTGCTTCATTTTCACACCAAGCACAGAGAACGCAACAGCCCTTGCATATTGTTTTCAGAGCAATTTCAAAGAAATCAGAATAAGGAAGCTTCTAACCTCATTTTCTGCAATTCTTATCTCAGTATGAATATTTATCTTAGATCCATTTATCAGTGATAATAATCAAGAATGGCATTATTATTAGTTTTTTGTTTGATAAGACAGCTGGGTAAAAGTCCTATTTCTCTGTTACATCCAAGATATAGTCCAATGATAGCTTATTAAATTGCCCTGTCTTCTAGTCAAATATAAATTCAATTAATTTTTTTCTAATTGAGCATTATTTTGCACAGTTAAGTAAGGGTGTTTAGATAAAGAAAAGTTTTAAATCTATATCTATATGTATGTACACATATATGTACATAATTAAACTATACTATATACAATATATTTATAGTTTTTAAAGTAAATCATCCATGTTCAAGCAAGTGCCTCTGGTTTATTTTCTTAAATGTCTTCTATTCATCTCCTGCTTAAATTCTGACATGTATTTTTTCAGAATTAATTATTTAATAATGTTAGATTAGAAAGGATGAATTATGTTTGGATAGGCTCAAATTAATCAATATGGGTATACTCCCTGTGGACTCAGGAGCAGCCCATGTTGCATTTCATACCAATGAAATATGTATTTTCTCTAATGGGATACTGACAAATGTTTTTTAAAACTCTTAGATTGTTTCTCATGTGCAGCCATCTTTTGTGGTGACATGAAGGGATCGGTGGTGGTGGTTCTTTGATCACGAAGTTCATTGAAATGAAATAGATGGGTATTCTACTAAGATGCTTCTTGAGATATATATCTATATACATGTGAAATTCTGGATCTTGTGGGCAGAAAACGAACACAAATCACCACAACAGGGATTCAGATTCTCTTTCTAAATCCTTGATATATCCTACTTTATAGACAGGAGGCTTTGACTAAAGGGAAGGCTGGGTCCCTTTGACAAAATTCCTCATAACTTGGTCACAAGAATATACAATTAAACATTCCCCAAAAGTCCCCAAGGGAGACCTGTGGCCACATACCCATCAACTCTCCTTCAAACTGGGTTTACAGTGTATGGTGGCATCATTGGAAATTATGGCTGCTACAATTACAGTCTCACTTAGGGGTGGTTCTGAAACGTGTGGTGAAAAAAATCTTCCCAGTGGGTAGAGTTTAAGGAGGTATATTTAGTTCACTTTGTGAAGAACTGACATGTACTTGAGTTTCGATTTATACTGATTTATGTCCAGTAGCTCAGTGAGTTGACAGGTAGTAGGGGGCTAAACAAGACTAAGACTGGAAAATTGGTGACAAAAAGGTCTAGAAGAGACATGTGTGGATGGAATTCTAAGAACAGGTATTGAATGGGGTTTATAAATGCTTAACGGAGGATAGGATATCAGAGGTAAGAGAACAAGTGAGGTGTTGGGTATTTATTCCTTTGGCTCTCCGTGCTGAGCCATGTAATGGGCATTCACAATGTTTCTCTTCCTAAGACCACAGCTCTCATAAGGGTGGCCTCTTGTGCTAAGTTCTGATAATGTTACCTACTCTCACTACAGCCCTGGGGGTGATAATAACTCTCTACCAACACTAGTTACAGGATGCTTCACTAACCCTACCCACATTTTTAGAGCCCTATTTATTAGACTCTCCTCAAGTGTCCCATGGTTTCTTGACAACTGACACCTGTTTCCTGAGGGGACCCTGACTAATAGGCCCCACAACAACCCTGATCATAAACTCCATGGGGGTAGGGAATTTACTCTCTTTTCTTTGATGTTGCTATCCCAGCACCTAGAATGATGTCGATTGTACAGTCAGTTTTCAATAAATGTTTGTTAAATGACATATGTTGTGACCACTTTCTCTCCTTCGTGATCTTTATGTTAAAGTCTATTATGATTGATTTAATATAGTTTAACCAGCATTCTTGTGCTTTTATCTGTAATTTGCTAAAGAATGACAAAGAATTATAAACGTCAGCAAAAAGCAAGCAAACTTGTCGTTGTGTGCATGGAAATCCAAGCTATTTAACACAAAAATTTATGACAATAAGAGAATTCAGCAAGAAGCAATGTTAATGTATAAAACCCAACAGATTTCCTATAAACATCCACCCCTGGAGCACCTGTGCAGACCCTCAGTACAATCTGCACACTGGGCCCCAGGCGCGCCAGGATGGGGCTCAGGGGTTGGTGGGTCCGGCGGCTGTAAAGGAACAGGGTGGAGGTCCCAGGTTGAAAAATTGTAAAATTATAATTTTACAGCTATATAATTTAACTACTTCAGTCGTCATGTCTTTTTCTTTTTACAAAATCAATTTTCCTACATAACTCCAAATTTTTTTTCACACCATCTAAGTAATATTTTAATATTTTCCATATCCAATCCGTATTCAAATTTCCCCAATTACCTCCAAATGACTTATGAAAAAAAATGCTATTTTAATCGGGAGCCAATAGCGGACTACCCTTTGCATTTGACAGCAGAGTTCAGGCTTAACTCTTAACCTCTTCGGGCTTGGAGGACCCTGGGCAGGAGAGATTTAAGAACACCGTCCTCCCGCGTTCGCGGAAAGGCCAAGAGTGACTTGAAGTGTAGACGCGGAGGCCTATGGGAAATGTAGTTTTAAATAGGTGAGGTTCACCGCCTGGACTCTGGGAAGGGGACGCCACGCTCCTTCTGCGCATGTGCAGCCGTAGCCTCCTCGTTCGTCTTCTCAGGACTCCAGAGAACCGTTGGGGAACTTTGGGGTGTGCTCGGAAAATGCAGGGTGCGCACCTAGGGCGAGGGACTAGCTGGGAAGGGTGTGCCTGTGCTTGGGGATGGGAGCAGGAAGTGTCTGGGACCCCGTCGCCCCCCGCGGCGGTGTATAAACCCGGGCGGGCCGTCAGAGCGGGTAAGGCCGATGGGGGAGACCCTGGCCCTCGGGCTCCCGGGGCGCAGGTGTTCGGGGCGGTCCGGGGTGCCCGAGGATCGTGTGACCAGCCCGCCTGCAGCCCGACCGGAGAGAAGCCCGTGTCGGCGGCGGTGGGTGCGGGAGGGAGGAGTGCGTTTATCAGGCGGACGGTGACCGTGGGTCTGCGGTGGAGCCCGAGCTCTGGAGCACTACAGGCCCGGTCAGTGCCAGCTCTGTCACCTGTAAGCAGGGGCGACAGAAGGAACCTGGGCGAGAGTCAGGGTTCTCATCTATAAATACTAATAATGATTGTTTCACGGCGACGTTCGGAAACATAGATCACTATTTTAGATAAGTGCCAGGTAGGAAGCCTTAAGTAAGTGCCAACTGCTGTTATAGTTAGAGGACGCTTTGCTTTTTTACTGGATAGTTTAATGTACCCTGACAACCACTTCACCAGAAACCGAGGCTCGGGTCGGTGGCCCGATGTGCTCGAGTCAGGAGCTCCCAGCCAGGGAATTTGGATTCGAGGGCAGGTGTGCTTCGCTTCAGTCTCAGGCTTTGTCTGATGTCACACCTGCCCAAGACTGGCGTTACAGCCTTCACAGCACTTAGGAACATGGCCTGTCCCTGCGTCCCCAGGGATGTAAAGGAAAGGATGTGGATGGAATCCCATGGTGTGTCACATGTATCCTGGGATTTCTAGTGTCTCTTCAGGTCCCTTGGGTCAGACAGAGGCGCCTGGCCCCCTCTGCATTGTCAGGCTTTCTGTCCTTCAAGTCTAATGTTATAATGAATTCCAAGAGTCAGGCTTTTTGCCCCTAAAATGAATTTATTTCTCAGATCCATGTCCCAGTTGCCTTGAAACAAACCAGCCCTTGTGAGGCGGGAAGCAGGGGGCCTCTGTGAGGGAGTCTTAGCTGGAAGAGAGCGGCCCTCTGACCTTAGACCTCTCTCCAGAGCTTCAGAGCAGAGACAAGAGCCCAGAAAGGAGCAGATGCTAGATTTGCAAGATCAGAAGCAGGTCTTGATCCTCCTGCCCAGGATGAACCAGACTTGATGATGATGCCACCTTCAGGAGCCACCACACTGTGTGACAGTGGGGCATTTGGGCCGTCCCTGGGAAGAACAGGTGAGCTGGGGTGGCCCAGGGGCAGGCTGCTCAGGAAAGGCTGCTTTGTTGGAGAGCCGTGAGGGCAAGGTCTGGGGGTAAGGGACAACCAGGCAGAGGGAGGAAGTTCTGTCTCCAGTCCCCTTAAATGGCCCCCGCTATTTACAGATGCGCTGCTGTCACACATGTCCACCACCACATGTGACATTAGTGACGTTATCCTGACGTCACAGGATCCAAGAATGATGATCTGTGAAGAGTTTTCCAAGGTCACCTACTTCTAACTCTTTTGAAAGATTTAAAGACATTGGGCCTGAAAACTTCAGTGACTTGTCCAGGGAAACGCAGTTTGTGACAGTTCACTCTCTCACAGGTAAGTTACCAAAAGCATCTATCAAAAGGGCCTTTTGAGAAATACTTCCCAGCTGAAATGAACAATTAAAAATTCCTGCCTTAAATCACCCCATCTCTTTTACTAGGCTTTCCGTGGATTGTGTAGAGCAGGGGTTAAATAATATTACTGAGAAAAATAGATAAATGATGCATGCTGAGTAATTTTCTGCTAAGTTAACTTTAATGAAGGAATAGTGTCTTGTTTGGCGTTCTTTAATTCAACTAATCTTCTGTTGTTTTGATTTCTTTCTGTTATTCAGAAGGACGCATGCGTTATTGTTAAATCAGTCGAGTAAAGTTTATGTTCACTCAGTAAAAAACTGCAGATTTCAGCTCCATGGTCATTTCAGAATCACGCAAAGACAGGTGTTGCTGCCTGTCCATGATCCTTCTTGTGCCTTTTCAAGGCCCAGAGGGCCCTGTGCCTCTGGGGAGGATGATCCCCAACTGGGGTGCTGAGATTTGAGGAGGTGAATCTAAGAGCTGTAAGACAGCTAAATCTCAGGACCCCTGTCTTCTTTCTGTCCCCTCAGCTGAACCACAGCCCTCTGTACTCGCCCAGGAGCCACAGAAAGTGAACATTCCTCAGGTGAGCTCTTTATTCATTCCCCACTTTATATTGTAATGGATTTATAAGGTTTAGCAGGATCCATGCATTAAAGGAAAAGGAGAAGTAGAAATAGTAGAAATCAAGTCAGTGTTGAGGAAAAATATACCGTGTTTTACTATTAATTGTGATGTTGGCTGTTAGCTTTGAGTGGGTAACTTTGTCAGGGGAAGTAGTTTCCCACTAAGCTACCTGTTTCGATCTCTTTACTTGTGATTGGGCTATTCAGATTCTCTGTTTCTTCTTGATTCAGTTTTGGGAAGTTGTATGAGTCTTAGAATTTATCTGTTTCTTCAAGATTGTCCAGTTTGTTGCTATATAGTTTTTCATAGTATTCTCTTATAATCCTTTATATTTCTGTGGTATCTGTTGTAATTTCTCCTCTTTCATTTCTAATTTTATTTATTTGAGCCTTCTCTCTTTTTTTTCTTAGAGAGTCAGGCTAAGGGTTTGTCAATTTTGCATATCTTCTCAAAGAACCAGTTCTTTGTTTCACTGATCTTTTCTACTGTTTTTTGTTTTTTTTTTTTTTGGTTTCAATTTCATTTATTTCTGCTCTGATTTTTATTATTTCCCTCCTTCGGCTGACTTTGGGCTTTGTTGTTTCTTCATTTTCTAACTGTATTTTAAGATTGCTTATTTGAGATCTTTCTTGTTTTTTAAGCTGGGCCTGTATTGCTATGAATTTCCCTCATAGGACCACTTTTTCTGCATCCCATATGAGTTGGTGTGGTGTATTTTCATTTTCATTTGTCTCCAGATATTTTTTGATTTCTCTTTTAATTTCTTCAATGATCCATTGGTTGTTCAGAAGCATGTTGTATAGTCTCCACATATTTGTCACTTTCCCAGCTTTTTTCCTGTAGCTGATTTCTAGTCTCATAGCATTTTGGTCAGAAAAGATGCTTGATGTGATTTCAATCTTCTTAAATTTATTGAGGCCTGTCTTGTTTCAAAACATATGGTCTGTCCTTAGAATGCTCCATGTGCACTTGAGAAGAATGTGTATTCTGCTGTTTTTGGATAGAATGTTCCATATATATCTATTAAGTCCATCTCGTCTAGTTTTTCATTTAATTCCACTATTTCCTTGTTAACTTTCTGTCTGGATGATCTATCCATCGATGTAAGTAGAGTGTTGGGGCCCCCTACTATTATTATGTTGTTGTTAATATCTCTCTTTAGGTCTGTTAATAGTTGCTTTATGTACTTTGGTACTCCTTTGTTGGGTACACGTATATTTATAAGTGTTATGTTTTCTTGTTGGAGCATCCCTTTTATCATTATATACTGCCCCTCTTTGTCTCTCATTGCCTTTTTTATCTTGAAGTCTACTGTGTCTGATATAAGTATTGCAATAACTGCTTTCTTTTGTTTGCCATTAGCTTAGAGTATCATCTTCCGTCCCTTCACTCTGAGCCTGTGTTTGTCTTTAGAGCTAAGAGTGTTTCCGGAAGGCAGCATATTGATGAGTCCTGTTTTTCAATCCATCCCACCACTCTGTCTTTTGATTGGAGAATTCAATCCATTTACATTTAGAGTGATTATTTATATATAAGGGCTTAATGCTGCCATTTTATCACTTGTTTTCCAGTTCTGTATTTCCCCTGTTTCTCGTCTTGTGTATTTTGGACTGCCAGTTCAGTTTGGTAGTTCTCTATGATGGTTTTCTCAGTGTTCCCTTTTTTGTGTGTGAGGAAGACTGGCCCTGAGCTAACATCTGTAAGCAATCTTCCTCTCTTTTAGCCTGAGGAAGATTGTTGCTGAGCCAACATCTGTGGCAATCTTCCTCTGTTTTTTGTATGTGGGATGCCAGCACAGCAGGGCTTGATGAGAGATGCATAGGTCTGTGCCTGGGACCTGAAGCTGCAAACCCTGGGTGACTAAAGCAGAGCATGCGAACTTAACCATTATGCCACTGGGACAGGCCCTCAGTTTTCTTTTTTTTGTATCATTTGTGTCTCTGTTCTGATTATTCGTTTAGTGCTTACCATCAGGTTTGTATAACAAATCTCGTAGATCAGATATACCATTTTCTGATAGCGTCTTATTTCCTTGGTCTAAGCCAGTTCCATCCCTTTGCTCTTCCTCTGATTTGTTGGTCATAACATATTCTGTTTTGTGTTGTGATTTTGTGGTTAAAATCACAAGATTATAGTTATTTTTTGATGTTTCCCTTCCCTTTATCTTTAATGTCATAATTAAGTTTTTGCTAACCTGTTCTGGTAGAGAGCTGCAATTTTCTGACTTTGGCTGCTTATTTATCTCCTTGCTCAAGGCTTTGTGAACTCTTTTTTTTCTTTTTCAGGTATGAAGGTCTTCTTGAGCATTTCCCGTTTGGGGTGTCTTGTGGCGATGAACTACCTCAGCTTTCGTTTATGTGGGAAAGTTTTTATTTCTCCACCATATCTGTAGGATATTTTTCCCTGGATAGAGTATTCTTGACTGCAGGTTTTTGTCTTTCAGAATTTTGAATATCTCATTCTACCTTCTCGTAGCCTGTAAAGATTCTGCTGAGAAATCTCCTGAAAGTTTGATAGGGTCTTTGTAAGATATTTTCTTCTGCCTTGCTGCCTTTAAAAATATTTCTTCTTTGTCACTGACTTTTGCCAGTTTTACTACTCTATGCCTTGGAGTAGGTCTTTTTACATTGATGTGATCAGAAGTTCTGTTAGCGTCTTTTACTTGTAATTCCAGCTCCTTTCCCAGGTTTGAACAGACTTTCTGCTCCTTTCTCCCTCCCTTCTCCCTCTATAATACCCATAGTTTTTATGTTGCATTTCCTAATTGAATCAGATATTTCCCAGAGAATTTCTTCGTTTCTTTTTAGTCTTAATTCTCTCTCCTCCTCCATCTGAAGCCTTTCTATATTTCGGTCCTCCAGATTGCTAATTCCGTCTTCCATAATGTCAGCTCTGTAATTCAGGGTATCCAGATTTTTCTTTCTCTCATTGTGTTTTTCATCTCCAACATTTCTGATTGGTTTCTCTTTATAGGGTCAATCTCTTTTGTGAAGTATTCCCTCTGTTTATAAATTTTATTCCTGATTTAATTGAACTATCTGAATTTTCTTGTAACTCGTTGAGTTTTTTAATGTTAGCTATTTTGAATTCTCTGTCGTTTACATTGTAAATTTGTGTGCCTTCAGGATTGATTTCTAGGTGCTTTTCATTTTCCTTCTGGTCTGGACTATTAATATATTTCTTCATACTATTTGATGGGGTTGGTTTGTGCCTTCACATAGATAGTATCTGGTTGCAGATTCCACCTGCCACCACTGGAGGAGGTTCAGGATCTGTGTATCCTGAGCCTGCTGTGATCCCTGGTGTCTGTGCTTGTCCTTTGGAATCTATGCTGACAGGACCCATCTGCGATTGCCTGCTTGTAGCTGCTGCTTTGCTAATGTACACACGGGCACTCTAGAGGGGGTCCCTTGCTCTGGCTGACTGGCTGAGCTTGTGAGCCCAGCAGGGGGAGGGGCACTTCTTTTGCATGTGCCATCCCGTGGGTGTCCTCTCTTTGCCCTCGCTGTCTGTCCTCCTGGCGTGCTGGCTTCATGAAGACAACCCCACAATAGCTTAGCCTCCTCTGTGGAGCTTTCCTATGGGATGTGAGGGAACTTGGAGAGCAAAGGCATTCCCACAGAGTCTCCCCCCAGGCCCCTCTTTTCTCAGAGCTGTGCATGGTCCTGTGCCCTAGGTCATTGCTGGGGAGGGAGAGGAGATCCCCTTACTTCCTCCTTCTTCCTGCTGGGGGGTCCAGCACCTCCACCTTCAGACATATGGCTGCGTGGGTCTCTCAGATGTCTTTTGTGTTGTGTGCCTGTCCTCTGTTGGTTTATGAATGTCCTTTTCATTGTTTCTTAGGGAGGAGAGTCTAAGGGAAGAGCTCACTCTGCCGTGATGCTGATGTCATGCCTGGTCATTCTATTTTTAAGTTTTTGAGGAATCTCTGTACTGTTTTCCACAGTGGCTGCACCAATTTACATTCCCACCAGCAGTGTATGAGGGCTCCCTTTTCTCCACATCCTCTCCAACACTTCTGTTTTCTTTGTAAAGATTGGCACCTGAGCTAACATCTGTTGTCTATCTTTTTTTCCTTCTTGTTATCCCAAAACCCTCCCAGTACATAGTTGTATATTCTAGTTGTATGTCCTTCTGGCTGTGCTGTGTGGGATGCCACCTCAGCATGGCTTGATGAGTGGTGCCGTGTCCAGGCCCAGGATCCAAACCGGCAAAACCCTGGGCCGCTGAAGTAGCGCACATGAACTTAACCACTCGGCCATGGCACTGGCCCCTCTCCAACACTTCTTATTTCTTGTCTTTTTAATAATAGCCATTCTGATGGGCATGAGGTGATATCTCATTGTGGTTTTGATTTGTATTTCTCTAATAATTAGTGATGAACATCTTTTCATGTGCCTGTTGGCCATCTGTATATCTTTGGGAAAATGTCTGTTCAAATCCTCTGCCCATTTCTTGACTAAGTTTGTTCTTTTGTTGTTGAGTTCTTTATATATTTTGAATAGCAACCCCTTATTGGATAAATGATTTGCAGATATCTTCTTCCAATTGCTAGGTTGTCTTTTCATTTTATTGATGTTTCCTTTGCCATACAGACACTTTTTAGTTTGATGTAGTCCCATTAGCTTATTTTTTCTTTTGTTTCCCTTTCCTGAGGAGACATATTCAAAAAGATACTGCTAAGAATGACAGCAAAGAGCTTACTGCCTACGTTTTCTTCTTTGGAGTTTTATGGTTTCAGGTCTTACATTCAAGTCTTTTTTTTTTATTGAGTTATTGATAGGTTACAATCTTGTGAAATTTCAATTGTACATTAATGTTTGTCAGTCATGTTCTAGGTGCACCACGTCACCCTTTGTGCCCACCCCCTCAGAGATCACCCAATCTCAGGATTGCTTTAGCAATTCGGGGTCTTTTGTTGCCCCATATGAATTTTAGGATTCTTTGTTCTAATTCTGT